CCTGGGCTGGATTTGAACCCGCCAGCTCAGATGTATGTAGCTGGCGTCTTAGCCGCTTGAGCCACAGGCTCTGAGCCAAGAAAAAATATTTTAATCACTGTCAAAGGAAAATGCTAGGTTTTCTGTCAACCTGTTATATAAAAGTAACAATCATTCCAGGCTTTTTTCTTCTCTTTCTTTTTTTGAGACAGTTTACGTCACCCTTGGTAGAGTGCCGTGGTGCCACAACTCACAGCAACCTCAAACTCTTGGGCTTAAGCGATTCTCTTGCCTCAGCCCTCCAAGTAGCTGGGACTACAGGCACCCGCCACAACACCCGGCTATTTCTTTTGTTGTTGTTGTAGTTTGGCAGGCCCAGGCTGGGTTGAAACCTGCCAGCTCCAGGTATGTGGCTGGGGCCCTAGCCATTTGAGCTATACTTACCAAGCCCATTCCAGGTTTTTTTCAAGGCTGCCACTGTATTTCATGATCTTGTCCAATACAGAAAATCAGTTCTCATTTTTAGGAATTAGTTCACAAAATATAAATAAATAAATAAAAATTATTTATTTAGAGTCTCATTATGTCACCCTCAATAGAGTGCTGTGGCATCACAGCTCACAGCAACCTTTGTCCAACTCTTGAGCTTAAGCAGTTCTCTTCTCTCAGCTTCCCAAATAGCTGGGTCTACAGGTGCCCACCACAATGTCCAGTTTTTTTTGGTTGGTGTTGTCATTTTTCTTTATTAGGCTGGGGCCAGGTTCAAACCTACCAGCCCCAGTGCATGTGGCTGATGCCCTAACCACTGAGCAACTGGCACCAAGCCCACAATATATTTTTATATTATACCATACCTCATTTCAAAAAGGACCTGAGGAAAAAAGTACATGTATTTTTTTTCTTTTTTTCAGTTATGAAAACATAGTAAAAAAGAAACTGAACTAGGAGAGCTATTCAATATACCCTTGCTCTTACTAACCCTTTATCACAACCTATATGAAATAGATACATCTGAAAATTTTTGAATTCATTATCTGACCTTAGAGTGCAAAATCTGCTATAAATCTAATCCTATTGGAGCCACTAGAGAAAATAAGCTCATCTAATAGTGCTTTATCTTGTCCAAAAATTAATAATAGCTTTACCTTGTATGGATCAAGTAAAAAGTCACTGAACTTGCTGGGCAGGGAATACTTCTTCACCAATTCATCTTCTACCACCCAAGGTGCATTTTCACCAGTACCAGCCCGTAGTGCATTATGCCGTATAAAGTATCGAAGTATCTCCTTATTTGGTGGGCGCTCTGTACGAATCAAGCTGTCTGCTGGCACATTGCTGATGATCTAGGTAACAAATACAAATAACTCAATACAATTAACCAACGAGAACAAAATTTTGTGTACACTCCAGAAAAATCACAATCCCATCTATAAAAACAGGGCTATAAATTAGACAGAAAAAATGTAGAATAATTTTCAGAGACAGAATGTCAATTTAAGGATATCCCTGGGCAATTTTTCAATACATATCAAAGTCCTAAAAATGTGTGTACCCTTTCAACAAAGTAGTCCTGGTTAAGATTTCATGATAGGCTGGGCAAGCTCGTCTATAATCCTAGCACTTGGGAGGCTAAGACAGGTGGATTGCCTGCGCTCACAGGTTCAAGATCAGCCTAAGCCAGAGCGAGACCCGTCTCTAAAAACTCCAGGTGTTGCAGTGGGCACCTGTAGTCCAAGCTACTTGGAAAGCTGAGGCAAGAGGATCGCTTGAGCCCAAGAGTTTGAGGTTGCTTTGAGCTATGATGCCACAGCACTCTACCAAGGGCTACAAAGTGAGACTCTGTCTCCAAAAAAAAAAAATCTGTCATAAGGCTGGGCTCAGTGGCTCACACCTGTAATCCTAGTACTCTGAGAGGCCAAAGAAGATGGACTGCCTGAGCTCACAGGTTCAAAACCAGCCTGAGCCAGCCTAAAAATAGCTGGGCATTGTGGCAGGCACCTATAGTCCTACTTGGAAGTCTGCGGCAAGAGGATCACGCGAGCCCAAGAGTTTGAGGTTGCTGTGAGCTATGATGCCATGGCACTATACCAAGGGCAACGAAGTAAGACTCTGTCTCAAAACAAGCAAGCAAAGAATTTATCATAGGAAGTAAATGGACAAAATCATAATCAACAACTTATAATAGCAAAAAAAGGGGGAAGGTGTATTACCTAAAGGTACACCAATAAGACATTTTTATAATTTAAATACATACATATATGAATGCCCTGCAGTCCTAAGGAAAAAAAGTTTCTTAATCAGGACAAATTCACCAGAATCATCTAGTAGAGTGCTATTTATAAGCAGATACTTGAGTGTCACCACAAACTTAATGAATTATCAGAATCTCTGGGCTCGGCGCCTGTGGCTCAAGCGGCTAAGGCACCAGTCACATACACCTGAGCTGGCGGGTTCGAATCCAGCCCGGGCCCACCAAACAACAATGATGGCTGCAACGAAAAAATAGCCAGGTGTTGTGGTAGGTGCCTGTAGTCCCAGCTACTTGGGAGGTGGAGGCAGAGACTCGCTTGAGCCCAGGAGTTGGAGGTTGCTGTGAGCTGTGATGCCATAGCACTCTACCCAGGGCGACAGCTTGAGGCTCTGTCTCACA